TCAGAAGATACCTGGGACAGGGAAACTCCTCTTAAATGTGCAGACCTGTTGTCTCGGCGTCTTCCGGTCATGTCAGGCTTGAGATCAGCTGGTTCCAGCTTGGTTCTTTCCCAGAGGCAATTCATAAGAGCTGACATGGCAAACGTTGCCTACCCAACATCAATTTTTGTCTTTTTCTTGTTAAGAAGAACATGGGTTTTTCTTTTCTGCATGGGGGAAAGTGTTAAGGAAGGGGGATCGCTAGCATGTACCCCGCTGAAAAACATTTCTCATCCTCTTTTGTTGCTAGAACTGATCATGTGACACTGTTCTGACTAGAAGACAAAGGTCAAGGATTTCAGAGAAAGCTTTATTTTCATAATATAGGTAGACCCACCCTTTTCTGGTTTCCCTTTCTGTTTCCTGGAGGAGGTTAAGGTGTGCTGGCTGGATCTGCAGCAGTCATTCTGTGACTGATTGTGAAGGAAAATTCAAGAAAATCACAAAGATGTTGGTTCTGAATCCTTAAATTATTGCACTGGCTCTGAACTGCCTGCTCTTAGACTTCTTATGATACAAGGGAAAACTAAATCTCTATCTTCTTTATGGCATGGACATTTTGTTTTGTTTGATATGTATGTGTATCCAAATGCAATTCCTAATCAATATAGATAGAACTCAAAAGGGCCCCCATTTCCCCAAAGGAGAGGGACTGGGTTGTCCACCATCAGTATAAATCCATAGGGAAAAGCCCATATTTAGAAATAATAAACTAAATAATATCTGAGTAGGTTTGTGTGTTTAAAAGTACACATCAAAAAAACTCTTAGAATCAAAGAAGTTGGGAGGCAAAAGAGGATTTTTTCAAAATACAAATGATAAGGAATCATGCTCAAAGTGCCATTCTTTTAATCCTCACCCTACGATATATTTATTGATTTCAGAGAGAGAGGAAGGAAGAGAGAAAAACATCAGTGGGTTGCCTCCCAAACTCACCCAGACAAGGGATGGAACTCATAACCTAGGTATGTGCCCTGACCAGAAACTGAACCCAAACCTTCCAGTATATGAGACAATGCTTTAACCAACTGAGCCACCTGGCCAGGACAAAATGTAATTTTAATATTTAAGTATCTCTTATGAGATGAACTAAAAAAATCCAGACAACACTGTGGGGAAACATGTAAAAGAGGATGTAAAAGTTCATGATTTTTACCTGAATCACATTGAAGAGCAACAGATTTCATTGTTTCTTATTTTAGAAATGAAGAAACTAAGGAAGCAGAAGAGAGATGCATCAACACTTTTACTACACATGCTCTTAGAGACTAAAAACCCAACTAACTAATTAAAGACCCAAGAAAGAAACCACCTGTTGTTGTTCATCTGGCCATATACACATTTCTTCTCTCATGGATGCAGGCTCTGTTTTAACAATTTGACAATAAAATAATAACAGGACTTGGACCCTCTCCCCTCAGCTGATTCATGTGCCCTGGCGGCAATCTACTCTTTGTGACAGCGTGGAAGGGTCTGGTCTTCCCAAGGAGAGAGCAAGGATGAAGAAAGCTGGTATGAAAGGCTGGCCCTTCAGCCTTTGCACCTAAGCTATGGCCTAAAGTGAACCCATGCAGCCTGTTTCTTTGTCTGTGCTCCTTCCACCCCCCACCACTAGAATGATTTTATCACTTCTTTGATATCACCAAGTAGGCCAAAAGTGGAACGTTTGCCAGAGTGATGTAATGATGTCAAGAACACAACAGCAAATTCAAATATCAGGCAGAGAACGTGTTGTGTGCTCTAAACCACAGAAGTGTGATTACAGCGTCCCAGTGGAGGGACTAAAACATGCTTGTTCTCTTCCTGGAGGCTCCCTCAATCCACCTGTGCTTACATTTATCTCTTTCGTCAATTGGGCTACATGGTATAGGAAGCACGTGGGCTGAGTAGCGTGAGAGGAAAATCAGGGGGAAATAGATGTTTCTGAGTTTTATCTGCATCTAATTAAGGAAGTGATTAATTGGAAAACACGAAGCCCCAAGAGAGGAAGCTAGGCGTGTTTCCAGTGCACACGAAGACCGTGGTCCTGCTCTGGGAATGGCAGTACCTCATCTTTGCAGGTTTTCCTTGGAGCGCTATTTCACAGGGTCTAATTAAAGCAGCCTGTGGCTGAGAAAATGAATGTAAATCCCATGTTTTACTTCCATTACTCCCTGCACATTAGAGCTGGGTAAAAAAAAAATGCTCTGGAATGATAAATAGCCCCAGTAGGAACTGAAAGGTGGGCCCTGTGGGGTTGGAAATCACACTGCACTGCTTGGAATGCCTGCTGGGTGTGTTACAGACCTTCTGGTCACAAGCAGAGACCACCACATTTCCCTGTAGCCCTTAAAACAAAACAAAAGAAAACAAAACAAACAACAACAAAAAAGACTGGACCTTTAAGAAACAAATCTGAAGGTGATTATTGCTTTCTTCCCTTTTGGATTCTCCCTCCTGATTACTCAGCTTTGCTGCAAGGATTTCTAAATATTGTTAACTCTTAAAAACAATCTTCTGTTCTTGCTGTAGGCACACACCTGGCCCTGCTTTCCCAGAATCCTGAGCTGGGTGTTAACTGTTCTCTAGAACAGCAAAGGGGAAAAAAATCAATGATAAAATTCTTTTGGGGGCAAAAGGGGAAGAAGACATCTGTTATTTGTGGCTGACCACATCTTTTAAACACCCTTTCTTTTTTATAATAGGGTCCCACAATTTTAGTCACATCCTCCCAAAGTAGAATCTTAAAAACTACATTTCCCACCCTGGCTGGTGCGGCTCAGTTGGTAGGAGTGTCGTCCTGTGGCCTAAGGGGTTGAGGGGTTGATGCCTGTCAGGGCACATGCCCAGGTTGCAGGGCATTTGAGTAGGAAGCCAACCAATGTTTCTCTTTCATTCTCTCTCTCTCTCTCTCTCTCTCTCTCTCTCTCTCTCTCTCTCTGAAAACAATGGGGAAAAAATAAAAAGCCCTCAGGTGAGGATTTTAAAAAACTACATTTCCCAGCTTTCCCCACAGCTAGATACAGGCATGTGATCCAGGTTCCACCAATTAGACACAGACTGAAGACTGATTTGGAAGTAAGCCTAGAGCGGAAGAGGCCTTGGGGGGCATAATGCTGTGGCAGAGGCCATGAGAGGGCGTGCGAACTCCGGCGGCCGTGTGGGAGGCTTTCAGGGTGGCAGCGCGTGCAATTGCCATCTCATCGGCCCAGCCAGAGGCCTGTCTTCGAGCACTGAACCTGCAAGTCCAGCCTTGAGGCCTTTCCCCTGGTCTTCCCTGCTGGCTTCCTCTCATCAAGTTTTCCTTTCCTGCTTAACTTAAGGGGCATTGATCCTGTCATCTGCAGCTAAAATTGGCCTGATGCAAACGGCACACACAGATATGTAATGGGGCTTCACTTGCAAACAAGGGTTCAAGAAAGCTCTTCAATAAAGGCATGGTAGTCGTGACCTGGGCGTGGTACCGAGGAGCTCTGCAAGGTCAGTTTGAGTGAGCTGTTCCAGGCTCTCAGCCAGAACTCATGGAGAAATAAATGTTTGCAGGCTCACATCTACTCTCACGAGACAACCAAACAAGTGGCGGTCTTGATGGGGTTATTCTAGACGGCTGGACATACCACCCCCCAAAGTGTCCTGTTGGGAGGCGAATCCTTCTGAGAGGACTTACCGCGTCATCACTACCTGCATGGCAGACTTTAGCTACCACAACACAGGACTGAGTTCTTGGGAAAGACACCCAGCAGAGCCCCAGAAGTAGATGGTGGTAAGTTAGTGAACACATTTCACATATTTCCCCAGGTCTGGCTCTGTATCAGTTGCAAATCAACATGGTTTTAAAAGAAATTAGAAAGAATGCATCACATCTTATGTGGTTCTTTCACAATCAAGACAGGAGCAAGATCAATCTCTTTACTGTTTCACACATGACTTCCCTAGACAAAGGAAATCAAAACACATGGCAAGAAGCTTTACGATCTGCTGACATGTGAATGTCACGATCAGAGTGGGACTGACGAGTGTTCCAAACCACCAGTCCACATCCTCTGAAAATGGAAGGGAATCCCTTGAACTCATCTTCTCCTTTTGCCATGGCTCCAACTAAATCTGGCTACAGGAACTACTTAAGGCTGAAAATGAAATTTTGAAGAAGCAGTAATACTTAAATATATTCAAAGGGAGGTTTAAAATGAGGTAATAATAAATGGTGCAGAAAAATCTGGCAACTGTGGGTGTTTGAATCTCAGTTCCATCTACTGTGTGTCCCTTTTGCAAGTCACTTGACCTCAATAACCCTGTGTTTTCTTATCTATTAAGCGACAATGCTTATTCTCGGCTTGTCAGACTGTTATGAGGAGAATATCAATAACCTTGGCAAAATATCTGGTCATGGTTGGGCTGAAGAAATGGGAACCATTAAGTGATGTGTTAGGCCAGCCTCTACCTTCAACTCAGCCCATCTGATGGTAATAATAGAGTATGAGCTTTTAGCAGTAGCCTTGAGAAAGCCTGTAAGTCACTACAAGGATTCAGTAAGTGGCCTTCACATGGGAGAACTAAAAATTCAGCCTGCCCTCATCAGTGAGCCCACAAGTTCATTATCAAGTTTTGTATTAATCTCTGCCGCACTGTCCTCTCATTTGGAATTGAAATAAGAGGACTCCCTGCCCTTTGGACAATGTCTTTAAGCATTTATTGTGACTGGTAACAGGTTGGGGACTGGAATGTAGTTGACACATAGCCTAGATGCAAAGAGCATTAACTGGAAGACTCTTTATGGACACATTCACAGCAAACAAATTTAAACCAAAAGATGCTGCTTGAAAACCACGAAATTAGTCAAGGTTGAAAGATACAAGAATAGTATTTTGCACAAAGGAAATCTTGCGGTTGATCCAGTAGAATTGTTGCCCATGGAACGCAGTCTCTTAAGGGTTTTGTTTCACTTCTTTGAGAAAGGCTGTCATTGTCATTGTCATTGTCCTTCAGCTGGAGTTTCCTTCCCTCACATTGAGAACCTGGAGCAGAGAGATCAGCAACTTAAACAAAAGTGTGAGAAAGAGTTAAGCAAATGTAGCAAGTGATGCCAAAGTCCCATACTTGAAGCAAATCTATTCCCGACAAACCACCAGCATCACATGAACTAATTAGAAAGACAAACTCCTAGGTCACCCAGACCTACTGAACTGAAACCAGGGAGGGGGGCAGCAATCTGTGCTTTCACAAGCCCCCCAGGTGATTCTGACTGAGCCTGTTAATGCTTGAAAAGCACAGCTGTCCCCAAGAGAGAAATGAACGACCTCTTTTGGGGGAGCCACTAGATTTTTGGGTCTTTTGTTATATTAGCTTAACTTGTCCTCTGATATGACTCCAGTGTATTTTGACTAATGTTAGCAATTAAATGTACGATCCCCAGGAGTTGTTACTAAAGGAGCAGCAGCGTAGGGGGAATATGGGATCTTAGTTCTCACTTGGCAATACCTCATTACACAAATCAAAGCTCGTTTATGAATTACACAGTTATACATCATAAACCCATGACTGTAAATGGTAGTAGAGTGGGCAACTTGGGAAGAGAAACTGATTTGGGTTTCTGCCAATTCTAAATGTATTGTTCAAATTAACTAAGACTGAGGAAAGGATTGAAGTTGTAACTTAAAAATATTTCTTTGTTCCCATACAGCAGCCTTTACCCACTGAGGTGAGAAAACACTTTTCATCCAGACTAGAGCTTATTACACTTTTTAAGAGCATAATTCTGGAAATTCAGGTTCCCCAACATCCAAACTGGCCACTTGTTCCTAAGAAAGGAACCACTGATTTTTTTTCGAACCAGTTATTACCTGCTCTGTAGCTCAGTGGTCTTGGCCAGGTGCCCATGAGACCAGGGCCTGGGGTTCAATTCCCACACAGGCCAATTTTCTTTGCTCTCCTCCATGAGGCCAGGAGGCACTATTAAGCATTGCCCACCTGCCTGGAGATGCTGCCATGCATCTGCGCTCACAAAAGGGGCCAGCTGAGGACACGGGAAAGGGTCTATCAAAGTCCCCCCACTGGCTGAAAATATAGAATTGGAGCAGTTTGGCTCCGTGGAGAGGAGGTAAGGCTATCAGGAAGAGAAAAATTGTGTATCCCAGGAAGCTCAATGACCTGGAGGTAGGAGGGAGGCGAGGGGGAGGAGATGGGGGCCCACATTCCTCTGTTTTTCATAGAAACTGTCGAGGTAATTAGAGGATTTTTAGTTATTCTTGGTTGCATGTTGCTTTTCCTATATTTGGGGCTTCCTTTGGAGCATTTCACATATTAACAAGTAAATCCTTTCTATTCTCCATCCTGATTTGATGGGATAGTGGGAGCAGCCCCTGAAAAGTGAGGGCAAAGTTGCTCATTTCCTTCCTTTCCATGACAATCTCGGCAACACATTCCCTAGGCCCCTTTCCTGTCCACCAAATAAGAGGAAAAAACCTAAGGCTGCAAAAAAACAATGAACTTGGTCAAATGACAAGAGGAACCCAAAGGCCAACTTCGACCTCTACTGAAACTCAGGACAACCCACAACCACATGCAGGATTACGGATTAGACCCCGGACCTCATTGACCTAAATACTGGTTCCTATTCTGGAAACCATAGGGTGAAGTCCCATTCATTTTTGTAAGAAGGGTGCAGTTCAAAGTAAACGAAGATGAACCTTGGAGATAATTGGTCATAAATGCTGACAAAGTTCTGGAGCTTCTTTGCCATGACATCATAGACTAGACCCAGTGCACATTTGCACAGATCTTTTCTGAATTAAGTCAACATCTTTGTCATCAAAACACAGGAAGACACTCAGCATTTCTAACTACAGCTCTGGGAGCGTGGGCAACAGGACTTGAAGTCTTACGTCTAAAGTGGGAGAGGCAAGCACATGTGGATAGTTTTTAATTTTAAGAAAAGTCCTTCAGCCTTTGAAAACTCCTGTTGCTAATTCTGGCAATGCCTTATTAAGTTATTCAACTTCTTTCTAACACTGAGAGATACATGGATTTCTAATGGAAACTATTCTCTTGGCATGCCCTCTTTTGTGAATAAGACAATTGTAAGATGTTCTTAATTTTTAGGACAACATACTTTCTCTGAGGTGGGATTTCCAAAGCCAGGGGAGTGACAAGCTGCTTTGGTCTATGCAAATACAAAACTAACGGTTGAATTTGGTGTTCATATTACCAGGAGATATATTCAAAAGAACGGTACCAATGTTTGCAATAGCTACACCAATTGGAGGTGCAATGAAACAATATGGGCTTTCTAAACCTGTAACAAGAAGAACAAGCATAATAAGATATAGTAGAAAAGCAAGGCCTGATTATATAAAGATGACTTTTCAGGTCATATTGGCTACTGATAAACATTGTCCCCTTAAAGCATTCCACTCAAGCTATCCCCCACTACTGCCACTCAGAGACCTCACTGGAGCTATTCTTTTGTAACTGCCTTCAAGCTTACAGAATAGTCTTCTTAATATGGTGAGGAAATTTCCATCCTTGAGGAGGGAGTTGAATTTTCATAACAACCCAAAATTATGCAGAGCCAGGTTTGGGATATTGCTATTGAGTTCAAAAGTGAGGCACTACAGATTAATACCATGATTGTGTGTATATTTTATGAAAGAGCTATGAAGATAAGTCCGTGTCAGTGTTTGTAAAATTATTTTAGAGGGTTTTGTGATGGTAACTGGCATTATTCTTCAGACAAAATAGAAAGCACTGCTATTGGCTATCCATCAACAGGATGTCCCACAAAGCACTTGACCAAAAAAAGGGTCTGGCCAGACAGAAGATAAGAAGCCAATCACAAATTCCCAGGGCCCTCGGAGCCCTGTGATCCACCAGAAAAGGGGGGGCTAGTCATACAACACCCGTGACACCTATTGTACAGGAGTGGGCAAGAGACCCACCCAGGGCTTTATATGGAGTTCCTATCTATTTCTGTGTTGGCAGATATTTTTCTTCTCAATAGAGGCTTCTAGAGACATTGCTTAATGCAAGGAATGAACTTTGAATTTGAGTTTAGCCTAAAGACTCCACAGTGGACCAAAGAGCAGTGAGGCACAAAACCTCCCGCCAGAGAAGAAGCTGAAGGCTGGCAGAGCCGCCGGAGCCTCTGGAAGGGCCGCCAGGCAAAGACGCAGCCCTGTGAGAACGTGCAGGAGCAGCTCCCCGAGCTCTGTGAATGAAAACAGTATTGATTCTTCTCAGAAGAGTGAGAAGTGAGGCGCTGCTGCATCCTGCATCCCTGCCCTGCAACATCACTGTGGACCAGGCCCCAGCAGATGTCTGCCCTGGCGGTGCACTGTCTGGCCAGACAGCACAGGCTCTTGTCCTGGTTTCACCAGTGAAAAGCTGCATGACCATCTCAGTGTCCTCACTGAGACTCTGCGATGGAGAGAATAATAGAATCTCCCCCAGTTTCCTCCTCAGAGGGCTGTGGGCCTCGACTGACACCATGGAGGTAAGCTGCTTTTCCCAGCACCTGGGGTAGGGTAACTACTCCATAAGATTAGCTATTATTATTATCATTCTTTCTAGTATTCCAGTTATTTTTGCCTTTTGTCATAGATTTCATGGAAGCTTCTCAACAGTTCATGAGAATGACTTCATTTTCAGCTGCTTCATCTTCTTCCCATACATTTTATTCTTTCTTTTAACTTGTTTACTGTCCTTGTGTCTAAACAATACCAGTTTGGTAAGATTGTTTTTCCTTACCTTCCATACACAAGACAAATCAGTTACCCTTAGGTATGTTCACCAAGTTTTGCCATCTTAGGGTGAAACCCGAATTCAGTAACCTCGGAGCATTTTGCATGAAAGTTCACAAACAAGAACCCAGCCTTCTAAAAACATCTACAAGGAGGCCCTTCCCAGAGTGCCCATCCCAAATGCACCATATCTGCAGACTGCAGGGATTTACTCAAACGTGGCCTTACTGTCAAAGCGTTCTGGTCGGGCCTGGCAGATATTTTATTTAAATCCCATCAATGCACAGTTGCTAATACATACAATTGCTCACAAAACTCCCTAAGCTGGAGTTTCGAACCAACAGCATTTTGACGTGCTGAGAGGAAAAATAATCTATTGTGTTGGAAAGAGAAGATGGCGTGGCAAGTGTCTGCTAATTTCCTTAGTGTGTACTGGCGTCAGGCTAATGTAGTGGCTGTGAAGGCTTGCATGGTAAACGATTTTATTCTTCCCCGCTGGACCTTCCCCTCCTTTCAACTGTCCCCAAGCGTCCCCTCCCCCTTTTCCACGGTTGGTTCATGATACCTTTGAGCCTTGAACCCACCTCTATCAAGTCGCTGCTATCCCCGGAATCCCGAGTAGACTGGAGAATACTCAGGAACGCCCCCTGGAGGCGACTGGTGGCTTCTGGCCCCCTTTCCTTCTATGAGGTTTAGCAAATTCCTTGCAGCCTCTTCCCACAGAGTGTACTCCTGCAGCCGGTGCTTCAGGCTCCCTCCCTCGTAAACATATGGGGACTCCGCTGTGCTCTTTTTCCCCATCAAGTGCCCTGTAAAAACCAAAAAACACAAACAGAACGCCACAAATTTAACCCAGAGGAACGAATGAACGAGAAATTTAAAAGGATGCCAGTTATGTTTCTGCTGCTTCCTCTTAAATGCAGAATAAATAGCATTTTATTACTAAGAGTTAGCTCATAAATGACTGCTTTTGCTTTCTGTTCAAAATGCCAAATGAGCTGGACAGAATTCAGACCTGCAACTCTGGAGCCCTGGGTTTGGTCCCAGCCTCTCCGCTAATGAGCGAGTTGGCCTCTGCCCAGTCATTTAGCACCCCCAGCCTTCAATTTCTCAAATATAAAATGAACAGGTTGGACTAGATGAAATCCAAAAGGAATCATTCGTATCTAAAATTCTATCACCAACTCTGTGTGCACTGAGTTCCACTCCCAACTGAATGGTGGAATTGAAACACCTTCCCTGGCCAAGTGCAAATTGCGGCTGAAAAGAAAGGTCTCGATGTTTCCCTTTGTGCGATTAACAAAAAAGAAAGAAAGAAAGGTGCTGCTTGTCTCTTATCTGTAATGGAAATGTACCAAAGGAATTTTTCACTTAAACTTTCTCAGAATTTAGCCAAGATTGAATCTAGGCAGCATCCCTTAGAAATTACAGTTTGTAAAGCATGAAATGAAAAACCAGTTGAAGACAAGTTCTGACAACACTTCCCAGCCACATCGATGCAGAACTTTCTCTTGGAGGTCTAAAATGGTCAGTGAACATCTAGCAAAGCTTCCACATAAGTGAATAAAAGGTGCTGTGTAGAAGGCCAAAGCACTAAAAACACAGACATGATCGTGCACGCAGGAGGAGAGAGCCACAGAGTCAAAGGAGGTAGGGAATTCAAGGTCTGCATTCATCACACGTTAGCCCGTTGCTTAAATATAGTCCCATTATCTTATTTACTTTCTTCACTTGAGTTTCCACATCTTTGTACAATCAGCTATAATAGTATTTTCAGATTTCTGATATTAATAAAACCATAGTGTTTTTTATTTAAAGTGCAACAGGAAGAGCTCTCTGTGGCTCCCATGTTGACTAGCATTACAAGTGTTTAAGGCAAATATCATAGGAATAGTGTTTGACTGACGTCAGTCACACAAAAAGAAGAGGCCCCTCTCCAGCAGTCCTCTCCGCCAAGAGAAGCCCTCGCCGTGACTTCATCGCTGGTAGGTGATTGCAAGGCACTGTTTAAAAGATGTTTAAATGCAGATCATTTCATTCGATCCACCCTGTAGTAAGTCTTATGACAATGGGACTTGCCAAGGTCACACACATGTAAGCAAAGGTTCTAGGATTAAAATCAGCTCACAGTCCAGGCTCTACTACATTCTGATGCTTTGAAGTCTTTGAACATCCTAAGAATATAGGGCAGGGAGAAATCATTCTGGAATCTGGAAATAAAGATAAGGCCCACAAAAGGCTTTCTAGTATATTTTTTTAAGATTTTATTTATTTATTTTTTGAGAGAGAGGAAGGAGGGAGAAAGAGAGGGAGAGAAACGTCAACTGGTTGCCTCTTGCTTGCCCCCAACTGGGGACCTGGCCTGCAACCTAGGCATGTGCTCTGACCAGGAATCTAACCGGTGACCTTTCAGTTCATAGGCTGGCCCTCAATCCACTGAGCCACACAAGCCAGGGCTCTAATATTATTTTTTCAAACAGGGATCATAGCCCTGACTGGTGTGACTTGGTTGGTGTATCCTCCCATAGACCAAAAGGTCATGGGTTCAGTTGCTGGTCAGGGCACATACAAGAAGGCAACAGATTGATGCTTCTCGCTCACATCAATGTTTCTCTCTCTCTCTCAGCAATGAAAAAAAAAATGTCCTCAGGTGAGGATAAAAAACTTTTTAAATAGGGATCACATCTGTATATCATGACTCACTATGTCACTCAGATAATTAATTCTATGAGTATTGGGGAGCCTTAAAATGACATTTTACTGCATAGCAGTGTAAGCGCTTGGTCAACTTGGTGCCTGGATATCCACTAAATAACCTTGCATTTAGCCATAACAGTGATTACATTGCACAACTGCCCAGGAGGTAACAAAGCACTTGGCTTTATTTATACGGAGGAAATGGAACCATGACAGTGGGAAAGCAGGATTAGAACCTGATGCTCCTAGTAATGGCCGCGGTCACTCTCAACTTCCATCATCTCCTATCGTCTTGTTGGCACGCTGGAAAGGAGAAAGCCATTGTGGCCAATGAAACAGAGGGGCAGTGGGGATGTTTTTACAAAAATGAACTTCATTTTTGTCATGCCAGAGTAATTTGGTGGACTTTGCTAAAATCCATTCTGTGATTGACTTAACATAGATCTTTGGGACTTTAAAAAAAATTTTAATATTTGCATATTTGATGGGCAGGTAGTGTTCGGACTCTCACCCCCAGATCCACAGACTGGACACCGAGGAAAGGGCGCCACCTATAACATCCCAGGGAGGCATACTTTCCCGGGTCCTATTTCACTGGCGAGCCAGCCACTGTCGACCAAATAGCCATCTCCATGGCAACATGGATGATATGCCCACTTCCACCTCTTTTCCCATCATCTTTTTTTTTATCTGTTCATATCATCATAATGGAGATCTCAGCATAGACAAAGACAGGCACTTGAAAAAATAAAACCATGCCCAGAGGGAAAAAAAAGCCTTTGTCCTTCATAATCAGCTAAAAAAAAAAAAAGGACTAAAATGGAGCATAAATGAATTTTCTTGAACTCAAAACTTGAAGATTACCCTCACTCAGGAAACAACCCATTAAGACAAAGTGCTGAGTACTTCTAGAAGCTAGTTTTTCTGGACAGACACTTAAACTGTATTTCAGTTTTCTGGAGCAGCGCTAACAATGTCAAGCCGTCCTGTGCTGGCCACAGGTGTTTAGAACTCAAGGGCACGCCTCACATCAAAGAGCGCCACCACAGGGGCTGGTGTTGACCTATGTTTTCATCACACACACACACACACACACACACACACTCTTCCAAGAATTTCAAGCCAGATAAGAATTTATTAAGTTTTCAACCTGATAACTTGTATTCCATTGCCATGCCACGCTTCTCTCAACTGAGAGAAGTAATTCATTTAACAAACCTGCCAATTTGTGCTGACAGCAATATGAAGCTTTAGTTCGACCATAACTAAAATGAAACGGCATATCCTCGGTGATTGAGGATGACAGGCATTTACTTAGGATAGTAGCAAGCTAAATTTAAAATGGAACATTATTCATGCTTGCGAACGCTCTGCCCAAAACTGACTTTTGCTCAAGCACAGCATCATTTTAGACCCCAATGCGAGTTTCTCCTTCTCTCTCTTTCCTTTTTTCACCTCAACTCTCCACAGCCAGCCAAGGGAGAAAAAGGAAAAAGAGTGTGTTTGAGAGCAATAAGAAAATGTAAGGTTGCCACGGGCCTGGATGCCTTTGGGTCAGGATTGCCCACACGCCAGCACAGAGGGCGATTATATGCCAGACACCTTAGCTCTCTGGGGACAGGTGTGCTCTAGAACTACAGCAATCAGGGTTGGCTTCCACCGGAGACAACATGGTTCCAGCTCCCCAGCTAACTCTCTTGTCCTCCCTTTGACCTACAGGGGTTACCTAATAATAGAGCCTTTGTAGTACAAAAAACGACGGATGAGCAAAAAGAGGTTGGAAATCTGGAAGTTTGATATCACCTTCCCAGCCCACCAGCTGGTAGCTGGACTGGACCAGGGCCACTAGCTCTAAGGTCCAAACACTCTTTTAAGTATCAATTCTAGGTTTGGCCTCTGTAACACCTTGAAAGTGTCCTCTCTGGGGGATGGGTTTGTGTGTGTGTGTCTGTGTGTGTGTGTGTTTCCCTTGGCCACCCCACCCTCTCTGCTCCCTGCCCACAGAGATCACAAATGCTTTCATCCCTGAGGCTGCCAGGCTCCGCACTCTGCAAACGACTCTTTCAGCGACAATGAAAACTACTCTGTTGCAACCAGGAGCTTTCCAATTCTCTGACAGAAACATGCACAGCACGGAAACGCTGAGGAAGTGAGAGGTCCCTGCTCACCCCGTTCAGTAAGTTCGCAGCCGTCTTCATAGAGCGAATCTGAGGTTTGGCTGATGCACACGGGCTAGCAAGTGTCTTTCCAGCACACCTCCCCCACTCTTAAGTAGATGACTAAGGACATAGAAACAACCACCACCACCATCACCACCCTTAAATCTCTTCAGGGATGACCAGCCTCCCAGAAAATGTTGGGGTTGCTGTAGTTGGCTTTATGGAGAGGTTTCTGAGGAAACTGGGCACTTGCATGCGCCAGAGGCTTTACTTGGCGGGGCCGAGAGCCCTGGTGACATTGGGTGAGCGCAAGGCTTCAGAAGCACGACCTACCTCCCGGTTACGTGAAACTGTGGTTTCGAGACCCGGCCCTGGCCACTGGGAGGTCCAGCGGCCAGGGCCGGCGGGGGTGGGGGGGTCCTGGGGCTGGGAAGAGCGAACCCCCAAGCCTGTGCCTGGGGAACAGAACTTGTTGGCAGAGGAAAAGGGAAAGGAGCTAAGGGAGAGGGTGAGGTCGCAGGGCTAGAGAAGTGGAGGAAAGCGGGCTCCGCGGACAGAGAGCCCGGGGTCAGCGTGGCGAGCGGCTGCGATTCTCTTAGCTCCGAGCCTGCTGGAGGGCCGGGCAGCAGGGCAAAGAAAAAACGATCGCTGCAGAAGCAGGAGAAGGACTGGGAAAATTCGGAAGAGCAACAGTGGCGAGATTCAGGCGCTGCTCCCTGAATGCATCTGAAACCCTGCGCGGCGCGCGCACTACGGTCCCCCACCTGTGGCTTCGCCAGGAGCAAAGGTGCAGCCTGGGTTCGGGGGGTTGAAGTTGAGGCTGCGGGGCTGGACCAGGGCTCCGAGATGCGCTCGAAGACCCAGCTTCCCTAAGTTGTTCAGGGAGAGAGCGGCGCAGGATAAAGGAGGTGTTAGGTAGGTGCAGAAGGAAGGTAATCTTCGCCTGGAGTTTTTGGAGAGCTGCGGGCTGGCTCGGTTGCCCTGGGGAAGAGGGAAGACCCAGGGACCAGCCCACGGCTGCTGAGAGACCGACTGCTTCCAGGATGGGGAAGGGTAGGGTGGAGTTTGGGGGGGAAAGGGTTGGTGTTTGGGTAGAAAGGTCGGAGCAAACCCAGTCCCCAAAGCCGAGCCCCAGAAACGCTGAGAGATGGGGAGACGGCCCCCAAAGCTGGCTGGTCCCGTGGAGAACTAATGCGCGCCGGACACTCACCCACCGCCCAGTGGTTGCCTCGCGGGTACATCTTGGCCAGCACAGTCTCTCCGGCCACCGGAACCGGGGCGGCAGGTCCCCGGGGCGCCTGGCAGAGGACCAGCACCAGCAGGACGAGCGGCAGCTCGCGGCCGCGCATGGTCCCGACAACGGGAAGCCCTTGGAGCGCGCGACGAGGCTGTGTGGAGAGTGCGCTCTCCCCACCGAGGAGTGACCGCAGGACCAGGACCTCGGAGGAGCTCCGCCACCGCCTTCCGCGCCGCTGCTGCAGCCTCCTCCAGGCCCCGACTTTATAGGGGAGTCCAAGCGGGGGGGAGGCCGGGGGCTCCTCCACCGTGGACCCTAGCGCTCTGACGTATCCCTGTAGCGAGCCGGAGCGCCTGGACAACCGTCATCGAAAATCATCCATCTTCCCGCCGGGTAATGAAAAGGCTGAGTGTACATTGTCCCTCTCTCTCCCTTTCCCTCATAGTCCCATCCGCCTCCCCCACATTGGATTAATTCTTCCCATCCTCGACGCCTTCGCTCCAACACAATTTAGAGAATTCTTCCCTCCACAGCCTCACCTGCGCGCCTCCCCGTTAGCTGCCTTCCGGTCCTTCAAGGGGGTGCGCGGGACCCCAGGCCGATCCCAGCAGCGGGGGCTGCTGAGGGCCCCCCCGCCCCGCTCCCGCACAAAGGATGAACTGGTTTAGGTTCGGCTTTGCTGGAAAGGGCTTGGCACCAGGGCCGGCAAAGACTTAGGACTCTCAGACGTTTCCTCTCCGTGGACGCCCCCTCCTCTCAGCCCCCGCCCACAGACCTCCAGACGCTTGTCTCTCCCCTCAGCCCCTTATGGCTCTCACCCCACCACCAGCAGGACCCTCTCTCCACCCCAGCCGGGGTTTTCATGGCTCCCCTGCCCGCTTGCACGGAGGATGGAGATGGCGGATGGGATAGGAAGCACCTGCTCTGGGGACAGAGCTGAGGACAGTTGTCCTACAGCCCTGGCCTCTTTCACACGCAGACTGTGTCCCTGTCATGGAGGGAGCTGTTACCCTAACGTCCCGGCTGCTGCGTCTCCCAGAGGGCCCACACTGTCCCTCAACTGCCATCCACACGCCTCTCTGGAGTCGCCCAACTTCCCTCCGCTCCTCCTGTTCTCGGATGGGAAGAGTGGCCCCAGGCCAGCGCCCTGTGTTCTCAGTGCCATGGATACAAAGGGGATGGGCACCATAGCGATGCCACAATAAACAGAAGCTGGTGGGATGCTGGGCGGCCTGGGCTGCCAGAGCTGGGGGTGGATTTGTGTGTTCCTGCAGGCCTGTTATTCCTCACCAGTTCTGGTGAGGTGTCTCACGGGCGGGTCCCTGGTATTGCCTGTCAGTGCTGGTGTTGATACCGATTATACTGAGGTTGTACAATTTTTTGGAATATCTGGTGATTCAATGTCTGTGTGCCATTCTTAGATGGTTCCATGTGCACATTGCATGTCTGAATACTCTTGGGCTCAGAAGAGTAATTCCATGCACGTATCTGGCTAAAAGGTAAAAAAAAAAAAAAAAAAAAAAAAATGCTGACTTTAAGATCACTGTGAGTGGCCAAGGAAACATAGTAATACCAACCCGAGGGAATGACCCAAATGAAAACCAACAGGAAAAAGTAAACAACCGGCCCGGACGCCATGCCCCTGGGATCCGCTGCGTGAGGTCGTGGGGCTCAGTGAGCAGGTGTTGCACTGTCAGGCGACCATCGTAGGCTCCTGCCTCCCACTTGGCGGTGCGCTTGCTCGAACACAGGGACTTGACCTTGCCTCTCTGCATGAGAGCAGACAGCCTGGATCAGGGTGGTGCTTGGTAGGAACCCGACGAATGAACAACCAACCCAAGAAATTCTCCAGCCTAAATGCCTGCTATTATGCAACTCCCGGTCTTTAGGGGAGCATTAAACCCATATCCCTCCAGATGAAGTTGTATAAAAATGTCCTTTCCCCTTTGTTTAATCAAAATTATTTTAGAATCCTTAAATGAAATTTCTCCCCCATGAGACTGAGGGAAAAAACCACTGTAAGTAAATTAAAGTGTGGGAACAGTGCTACGGAAAACAATTCTTCTGCTAATTCAGGCAATTCACTGTGTGTGTGTGTGTGTGTGTGTGTGTGTGTGTGTGTGTGTCTACCACAGGCCAGGAGGCACGGGAGTCTCTCCATTAACCTCAGCTCTTGCTCTGAGCACCTGAGCCCACAAGTTTTCTGTGCCGACTCAGGCATGGCCTTGTGACTTGCTTTGGTCCCCTGTAAGAGCAGTGGCCGTGTCAGTATTGCTCAGGGCCACATCCACAGTGCCTGGTCCAGTGCTAGGCACAGCGAAGGGACTCAGCAGAGGTGAATGGATGCTCTGTCCCATCCCCTATGCAGACCAGACAGTCAACAGCACTGAATGAGCCCCGGGAGATCTTGGCTAGGAGTCCTTCTCGTATCGCGTTTGAAATCTTCCCCGCAGCCCTGCCAGAGATGACCAGCCCCACTTACTTATTTAGCGGAGAGCTCAACTGCCACAAGGCAGAAATCTCACAGTGCAAAGCCACATTCAGAAGAGAGCTTGGTTTCTCTTTCATTGTGTTCCAGGGCAGGCATTCTTGGTTGGCAGGCAGCTCTGTCCCACGTGTATATTCAGAAACCTGGGTTTGTTCCCTGTTCATTCTTGTGCCTCTAATGTTCCCTGGGGTGCTACTCCTTGAAGAGAGGGGGAGCTTGCCCCAAAGCACACATCAATGCACTGCTTCCTTCATTAAGAACTCCTTAGTATGGAAACGAACCTCACTGAACTAAACAATGATCTTCGTGACTTGCGTTCTAGCAGGAACTCTTTATCTTGCTGTGGGTGTCAGAGGGCTCGGGAATGAGCAGCTGGTGCATGGGCCACACTTAACTAGCCCTGCTCTAGTGTGTTGGCCCCACGCGCACGAGATGGCCAAGATGGCGGCTGCCAGGGAGGGGAGCCCAAATGTAGCATTTATCTCTTCTGCTCCTATTTCAGTGGTCAAAACCCAGCCAGACTGTCACAGGTAGCACGGACTCTTCAATCCATCACAGTGCAGAGAGCTGAGAGAAAATAGATACAAAGAGTAACAGCCGGCAGCAGAATATGGCTGGCAGGATGGTGTTTATTCATCTTTGGCACGGGAGGCTTCCAGGGCCACGCCCCGTGGGCTCTTCTCTCCACTCTTGGGTGGCATTTTCCAGGAAATTCCATGGCAACTTCCCCTGTGGACTTTCTAACTCCACAGGGCATGGAATATACATAATTTTAGATGTATAAAGAATTCAGGGCCATTTATATCTTATTTATTCCACAGAACAGGATTCTATGATGTGATTTTTTTTTAAATTTACTTTATTTTTTATTTTACAGAGAGAAGAAGAGAGAGAGAAAGAGGGGGAGAAACATCAATCGGTTGCCTTCCACATGAGCCCCAACCAGGGCTGACCAGGACCCAAGCATGTGCCCCCACTGGGAATTGAACAAGTGACCTTTCAGTTTCAGGGATAACACCCAGCTAACTAAGCCACACCAGCCAGAGCTCTGGGATGTGATTTTTAAGGGTGTTTCTCCAAAGGCTCAGAAGGTCTGGTCTGATCGGGTCCATTTGTATGCTGGGAAGAGAGGCCACTTAAGCAAGCAGGGGCAAAGCGGGATTTGTCGTAAAACCACAATGGGAATTCCAGGAAATTCAAAGACAAGGGCCCGTGTGGTTCATCTGGGTCTCACAGGAGCTAGGACCGGCCGCAGCTCCCCCAGGGCGCTCCTGTGAAGTATCTCCTCCGTCCACATCTGCTCTGCTCTGCTCTTCGCTCTATGGATTACTGACTTCCTTGCCCACTGTTGAGTTTTCATCCCCGCACAACCTCTGCCGCTCTGTGGCCACTGTGCCCAAAGGGGACTTTCACATGACTTCCTGTCTTCTGCCTCTGCTGAAACTGCCTCCACCTCTCAGTGCCCTAAGGCTTGATTGACCCAGCTCATTATGTTGACCCGGTCACATGGTTAGAGGTTTCTCAACAGCTTACAGATGGAGAAGTCTAGAATGTCCCCTCAACTCTTGCCTGGGGCTAGGAACGCATGGTGGCGGATGTGGCATGTCCATGTCACAGGGCACTGGGCAGGGCAGTGTTCCCTTAAAAGAAGTGGGCAGGGCGGGCGCCCACATGTCTCTTTCACGCACAATGGCTCTTCTCCGCAGACCCTCAGGCACCCGTTATTCCGTGCCTTATGGTCTATGATTCGTGCAGTTTCCTTTTCACCCAGACTTTTCGTCATGAAGGGCATTTTTTATTTCTCCCATGGAGGTCAGGTTGGACCTTTTACCATGAAACAGGCTCTCTTGCTTAGATTTCCCATTCTACTTACATTGAAGTAACCACAGTAGTACCCCAGATGGTTGATGTACATAATTCCAGCTTAAATCCATGAAGAATTGCATTTTAGTTCATCTTTCAGGCTTCCTCCAGAGTAAATGTATGTTTTTAGGGTGGCTTTTAGAAATACGGGAAATAACTCTTCTGTTTCTACCATTGCCCCAAGGGGATTCTCGGCTGGGAGCCACTTTTGCTGTAACTGATCATTTATATGCTGGTGCCTGTGAAGCTTTGAGGGCAGGTCTTGCTGCAGTGAGATGCCCCAGGTCCAGACAGAGCAAAGAAGCAGGCTGAGAAAGGGAGGGGACGGAAAGGAGGGGAGGGGGGACAAGGTGGCAGTAGTGTCCTATTTACGCATGGGTTCTAATTCTGCCTCTGCCCTGAGGAGCTACTACTATGTGACCACAGACCAGTCACTTGGCATCTGCATCTCAGTTTCTTCATCTATAAAATGAGTTGCCAACACCTCTCTCCCTGGGGTGTTAGGAGGATTAAATGAGGTCTTGTGTAGCTACTGATAGGCAGCTACTTATTTATTCTAATCAATAAGAACAGAGAACTATAATGAGGGAAGCTAACTTTGCCTTAGGTCATGAGTTTTAAGATGGCATGATTTTGTTGATCGGCACCTCACTCAATGCCATGTGCTATTTAGATCTGCTGGAGAGATAACCATACAAAATAATAGCTGCCTCTTAGTGAGTGTCTACCATGCACAAGGTGTGGCATGTGGTTGTGTCTACACTTGCTTGCGTAATCTTCACAGCTGTCCTAGGAAGAAGACGTAATTTGTCCCATTTTATAAATGAGGAAACTGAGGCTCAGAACGGTTAGATAACTTATTTGATGCCCAGGGGTAAAAGGCAGAGCCTGATCTCAGTTCCGTCTGATTCTTGAGCCCTGAGGGTGGTACATCTGGTGAAAATGAAGTTCTTTGTAGTTCCAGGATTTTTCTGGGAGTTGGTATATTTCCTCACCCAGAAGGCATGAAAAGTATATTTAAAATAATCAGGGATAATTTTGAGAGGCCTTTGGGTGAAATCTCACTGTGGATTTCTCTGCATGTCTTCAACTCTTCTCCCCCCACCCTCAGCCCACCCCGCCTCTAGATTTGTACACGTCGTTTTCAACTTATAAGTGGAAGTGGGTGGGAGCCCATAAATTTGCTTTTTGGAGAATTAACAGCCTCGTAGTTTTGGCTACAGTAGGGATGGCCAGAGTCCCAAAATATAGCCCATGATGTCTGAAACTGAAAATATATTTCTGAGATTTGTGTACTTGAATATCCTACTGCACAATCCTCTTTGAAATTGAGTATTGCTGGCATTTCATCAATTACCTCCCACGGTCTTCTGAATTACGGGACAGATTGGAGGGGCCATTGCCCCAGACTCCAGACTTACAGTTTACTGTCTTCAGGGCATTTTGACTTCCACAGTGTTTATAATTTGGGCTGGGTAATTCTTTGTTGTGGGGTCTGTCTTGGGCATTGTAAGATGTTTGGCAACATACCTGACCTCTACTCAAAGAAGCTAATAGCACCCCCTCAGTTATGACAACTCAGATGTCTACAGACATTGGTAATATCCTCTTGGTATGGGGGAATGACCCCACCTGAGAGTCTGTGGTCTGACCTAACAGCTCATCCTCCTTAGTTACTTTCTTGCCCAGTTCTTGTGTCCACACTTGAATATCACCAGTGCTGGAGAACTCACTCATTCTCATCTTTGGAGAACACTCATGTTTGAAAACTCCTCCTTTGGTTTGCAGTCCGGTGCTCAGTCCACTGAACCACACCAGCCAGGGCTTGAAACTCTTCCTTATTCTGAATCTAAATGTGTCTCTTTAGCTTTCCCCCGACATGTGATCCTGTTCTGTTCTGCCTGGTCCTTCTGATGCCCCCTCAAGCGTTTGCAGATACTGGCATGCACACCTTCAATCTCCTCTACAGCCAGATCATTGTTGTCTTGTGAACACCACCACCGGTGCCATGCTTACTCCTTCCCTCTCCGTTCTGACTGATCTGAACATCCTCCACTGTAACAATGTCTTAAAAGTGGAGAAAGTGAGCCCTGGCCGAGTGACTCAGTTGATTCAAACATTGTCCTGTACACCAAAAAGTTGTGGGTTTGGCTCCCAGTCAGGG